AAAGAAAATTGAAAACTGAAAAGACCAATTTTTCTCTAACTCACCATTCAAGGGTAATTTGGTTATGAAATTTGTTAGTTATGTTGACATGGACACCTCTGTTAAGAAGCATTAATGGTGCACTATCGGAATGTGAGTTTTGAAAAGTAAAAACTTACTAACATAGTGAGTTTTAGACATTTTGAAAAGTTGTGAATTTAAGAGAAATGTCGAAAACTTGTGGTGAGTTTTAGACAATTTCCCTATATTTAATAATATTTTATTAATATTAAGGTTTGAGGACATTTTTGTCATGAGTTCTTTACTTCCTAACAAACTCTAGAATGGGAATCGCATTTCCTAGGGGGAGCCTAGAATGGCTATCTACTCGTATTGGGGAATACCATTCCCCCAAGAATGGGAATCAGAAAACAAGCAGTTGAAATCATGACATTCTGTTTCCAATTCCAAGCACTAATTTCATTCCATGGAACCAAATGGACCCTGAGCTTTGACAAAGCCAAATAGCTTTATATGTATTCAGATTTTGGCCATTGTTTTTAACTCAGTCAATTGAGTCATCACTCAATCATGATTTTAGGTCCGATTTTATTAACAACCATTGATATGTAAACAACCATGTTTGACTTGGGTGGTTGGATTATTGATTCATTCAACCTAGTGATCGGGTCACAGGTTGCATACTAAGAGGTTGTTCTACAACATGAATGTTTTTGTTTTCATTTGTTTTTGAAATAGCCACATCAACAAAAAAAAAAAAACATGTTATTGAACTCTATTTATGTTTTCAAAAGGAAAATAAGTTGGTTTTATTTCAAAAACCAGTACATGTTTTTGGAACCAACAAAGTATTGGTTTTTAAAAAAAAATAAAGTTATGGAACATGTAGTTGAATAAATAGATGAAAACATGTTTTTAAAACTAGATTCAAGAACATATTTTTTGTTTGAGTTTTGAAAATAGAAAACAAACACACAACCAAGATTTTTTTTTTTTTTTGTATTTTTGTTTTAAGAAACAAAATCTTTTCAAACCAGATGATTTTGATTTGTTTTTGGAACCGGCAACAAGAAAAACAATTAATGTCATAAAACACCCCCTAAATGTATTTATAAACTTTCAGAAGCCATAACTTTGCACTCTAATATTCGATTAGAGTGGTCTTTTTTTATTATTATTATTTTGAGTAATTTATTGATATCTATGCACTTAGACCTATTCATGCCTCGGTCACAAGCTTGGCTTTTGCCAAAATTTGAAGCTGATTAAGTCTGTCAGACACCCGTGCGACCATCTCAGCCATCAGATTGATGATGAGTGAGAACAATCCTCTACTGCCGGAGAGACCCGGATCATGAGACCCAGCTGTTTATCACGTTCTCATCTCACGGTCCTAATTCATCTAATGGGATTTAGTGCATTAGCTTCACAAAAAATCGGTTTCAATGATAAAAGTTAGAGTTTTATAAAATGCAGACAGCTAAAAAAAAGCTGTTTCGGCTGTCAGTTCCTAGTTAACGGTCCAACCATCTGGTCCGTTTTGGTGTTTAAAAAAATAAATAATAAATAAAATAAGAATGAAACTCATTCGAAAGATTTTTAACTTTGGTTAAGTAGGTGATCAATTGAATTCTGTATGCCTTTTGGGCTTTTAAACATGGGCTAACAGGGTTTGATTTTCATGTGCCACTTGATTTGCAATAATGAGTAAGCCACAGTGGCACACTGAAGCATTCAAAGGTATACTGGTGAAATAGGTAGGTCCGGAAAGGAAAGCCAGATTGTCAGATCTATTTTTCCAAGTGTTCAATTGGGAGTGCTCAAATCAATTCTCAGTCATTTGCAACGTTTAAGGGGTCGGTTTAGAGCTCTTCCACCCCTTGAACCAGTCAAACCCTCGATACATCCACTATAAGAGCATATTGGAGAGATCCCAGAACGACACATACTAACCGATACGGACCAATACATGTCGATACTTTGAACCTTGATCATTTGAGGGGCTATCCACTTCGACCTCTTTAAATAACTTATGTTCATTTTGATTTAGTTTATCCACAGAGTTCCAAAGCAGCTGAAGCTACTTAGCTGAATTTTCAGCTCAGTGATCGCAAAGGGGCCCGAAATTGAGACAGGATCTTCTCAAAGCGAAGTGTACACATATGCTAGACAGCATGAGCCGCATGACATCAAACCACATAAAGAAACATTTCCCCAACCACAAAGAGCACTGTGCTGTCAGCCATGCATTAATCATGGATTGGGTTAGGCTTTGCACCTATGATAGGGGCAGCTCCTGGGCCAGCCTAACTCAAGCTCCTGACCATAAATATAAGCCCATGTATATAACATTATGGCCATATTTAGAAGTGCTTAAAAATAAATGCTTACTTGAAATAAGTGCTTATTCGGGTGATAACCACACCATTAAGCACTTGTTGATGTGAAAAATAAACCCGAAAATTAAGTGTTTATTTTAAAAATAAGGGTTTATATTACAAATTTTCAGCTTATATTACAATAAGCACTTATTCAATTTTTTTCTCCCATACTTGTCCTTGGTAAATTTTTAGAATATAATACCCTTTTATAAAAGCACTTTCACAGACACTTTCATAAAAGTAATTTTATGAAAAGTATTTTTACAAAAGCATTTTTAGGAAAACACTTTTACAAAAACACTTTTACAAAAGTATTTTTACATGAAAACACTTTTATAAGTCCTTTTTATGAAAATACTTTTACAAAAATACTTTTATGAAAGCACTTTTACAAAAAAATACTTTTATAAAAGCACTTTTATAAAAATATGTTTAGCAAATTAAATTTACAAAAACACTTTTATAATAAAGGTATGGAAGTCATTTTATTACATATTTAATGCAAACTTTTGATGGCTACTAAAATGTGCATATTTGTCTACTTATTACATATCTAATTGTAAGGGTTAGAAATATAATTTCAATTATTACTTTCCACTTTTCATTAAGCCTTATACTTAAAGGTATTAATTCCCATTTTCTCTTATAAATCCTATATTTAAGTTATTTTTCACCAATAAATGGTACAAATTAGATCTATGTCAATATTTTTAACAATATAAACCCATATATTTTAAAACTAGCTAAAAAGCAAAAACATTCTTTATCCAAGTGATAGCTAAGCAATTCAACCATTCAAATCAAATTGATAAACCTATGAAGTCGTAATTAGGTAATAAAATTTTAAAAATAGAAACAAATATAGAAATTTATAAAAATGTAGAAAAGATTAGACACATTTATGATAATTTTATTAACCAAATTAAAAAAATAAATGTAACAAAAAGAATTATTTTTATTAATAATGAAAATGAAATGCATACTTTAGAATTGACCAAAAATGAAATTATTTTACTATTTGGCAAAGCTCAATAGTTCAATTTTTGGATCAAATGTATTACCATTTAATGTCATAAATAAATAATAAAAATTAATAAAATAAAAAATGAAAAAAATACATAAATGATGCAAAAAAACATTTCGGCACATGCATAATATTAATTAATTATCATATTAAACAAAAAGTAAGTGTGACATAACGGAATTATTTTTACATAGAAATATAAAGAAAATATAGAAAAAATTAGACACATCTAAAACTTTATATTTACACTACTATTAAAAATATAAGTAAGATTGTGAAACTTTCTTTTAACTAAAATACTCATTTTTTAATTTATTTTCTATTTAATTGCAAGGTTTAAATTGTAAATTGAACTACTACTTTTCACCTCATTCAATTCCCTCTATTTAAATCTTACATTTTTTTGGTAAATGAACAGAAAAAAAAACACCAAAAAGATAAAATATTATAAAAAGAAGAATCTGACCAAGTAGGTAGACCTATCAATGATACTTGAAGCTTAACAACACGATCCGATTATAACATATTTAAATGAATGTTTATGTAAGCAAATTTGAATTTTGCAATATGCATCCAATTAATAATAAAAAGCAAAAATCATATAGAAACAAAAAATAAAAATATGTAATTAGAGAAACTTTTGGATTCATTATTATTATAATTATCATCATTACAAAATCACTTTTATAAAAGTATTTTTACAGAAGTACTTTTATCAAAGTACTTTTATGAAAAAGCACTTCCATCAAGTACTTTTATTCATTCACTTTGGATTGGGAATTTTGAAACTTTGAAAAAAAATGGACAAAAGAGTTACAATTGCTTATCGGAGAAAAACTACCAAATGCCCAATATGAAATAAGCATTTGAAAAAGCTAGGTGCCAAATGCAAATAAATATCTCATCATTTTATATACTTATATGTAAATATACAATATAACATGAAGCATATGTACATATGTATAAATCACACACACACACAGGGTCAAACCTGTAGGACCAAGCCCAGTCCTAAAATTTGCGGGCCTGATGCAGGCTCAAGTCGGGCCTGAGGCCGGGCCGGGCTGAAAATGATCACCCCCTAATAGCACCATTGGTCGATTACTAATCTCAATCTGCACCATATAATGCCAATGCTTGCCTTGGCTTAGCGTCTAGGCCATACATGTAAATCTAAATATTTCAATAATATCATAACAATGTAAGTTGTTCAAACATCAAATATTTTAATATGTAAATCTAATCACTGAGGCTTTTTATTTCTTCAAGGGCTACACAAACACAACGGGGGTAGCCCATCCCCAACCCCATTAACCCCACCCCCCACCCCCGGGGCAGCCGCATTTGGTCCCAGATCTCTGCTACAATGAATCACCAACTGAGCCAACATCAGATCAGTTGGTAATTACTGACTTAAAAACTTTCAAAATATATATGTATTTTAAGCTCTTTTATCTTACAAACATGCATAACACTTGAGTGACCAGATCTACTACCCACGTCCAGAATCAGCATGTGCCCTTACAATAGTTACATTGAATCTACTATTAGCACAGATCAAGGAAAACTACACACACGCAGAGGGAGAAAGAGAATTCAAAAAGCCAATGAATCATGGGCATCTAATGATAAATCTTAGCTGCCAAATCCAAGAATACATGATCCCTAATGCACAATATATTGAGATCAACATAAGGGGTAAAAATGGAAGTTTGTCACCAAGAAGGTAATGGTGTAGAAACTGACCCCATACTTCAACAAACAAAAGAACCAACAAATAACAAATCCTAACCCACCCAACAACCAACCCACCACCCTTGGCAGCAACCAGGCCTTCTTTAGATCCCATTTTCTCACCTTGTTGCTTTGTGGACACCACTGTGGTCTTGCTGAACTGTGAGGAAAAACCTACCCACGTGAGAAGGGAATGCAGAAGCAGAAGCAACACTTTTATTGAATACTCATCAGCTTCAAATAGAAGAGGGAACAATGAGTAGCAAGACACTGCAACGTGTACAGAGGGGGAAAAAACATCAGAATCTTCGAAATGGAAAAAGTAGGCAAATCCAAAGAATTTAGATTCTACGTATTTCTATTCTCAAATTGATTTAAAATATGCAGCTCAAGGCACCCATCTCAGTGTACCATGTGCTTTAATAAAAATTCGATGAAGAATAAATCATGAACGCCACAACACCATTTTGGACTAATGGAAGAGCAGTTCAAGTTAAACACTACATTCACTTAAAAGAGGTAGACAAATGAACACTCATGGACTATCAAACAATACACTTCAGGGTCATCACGTTCTTGAAACATTACGGCATTACGACATTAATGAACCTCATCTGAGAAATAGCTCTCACTGAAGGGAGTCCTGAAATACCTGGATATCTATACTGCCTAGTGTACTGGTATCAAATATGATATGTACCCAATACAACACAACAAGCTGCATAAACATTTCTAGATCATATTAAATGCACATTTCTAAAATACGTAAAATGGTATTGCTGATCAAAAAATAATATGTAAATAAAAAAATCATACTACAAAAGCCTGCCTATGTTAGGAGCAATGTTCATAGAACTGGACCGGGTATAGAACAAGAGAAGGGAGAGGTTCACGGGTCAAAGATTCAACTGGGGTCAAACCGGAGGTCGAACCATGATAACATGGCATATTTGTATATATACATATAATCATATTACCAAGAGTGTCTTGTCTTTAAAATGAGAACCCTTCTCCTCACCAGTAGGAAAATGATCTCGTGAGGTAACTAAGACTGTTTTTGGTTTTATAGAAGATCAGAGAGACAGAAAGTTGAATAAGGAATTTTGTGAAAGATCTTGAGAATTCCTCAATTTTATGTTTCTCTCCTATTTTTTATCAAACCAAATATAGCCTAAGGCAAACATCCCTTGGTTGACCTTCAGTCAGCATATCCTTGGTGTAACAGATTTTAACCAATACAGTTCAAATGTGCCCAAGACAACTCATGAAACCATGCCTTTTAATAACATGCACATGCTCCCTTAAAAAAAAAATTAAAAAAAAAAATTAAAATTTGAGAGGGGGTGGAGAGAGACCTTTGCAGAATATTGCAAACCAAGGAAATAGTACCAACTTATTTTACCAGGTTATTAGATAATTCAAAAAAAAATCACAATAAAATAATAATTAAAAAAGTAGAATTTTCACTGATAAATATAACAAAAAAATCCTTGAAAATAAAATTAAAATAAAGAAATTGAAGTGAGATAGGTGGTAAATAGTACAATAACCAAGATGTACAAACAACCCAACAACTCAGTCGTGGAATTAAAGACTTGTGAGTGGGTTTGTATGAAGGTGATAGAAGAGGGAGTGATCCCTGAGAAAGTGGAGATTGTGGTACGGGAGGCCCTCTTTGGATCTAGCAGGAAAGTCGATTGAGGAAGTGTGATTTTAGGGTTGGGGAGAAGTAGCCAGTAATTAGAGGTAATTTGAGATCCAAAGTTGGTAAGACAATGGTGATTGTGGGGGTGGCAGAGAGTGGGGATTTTGGGGAGTTTCTATAGCATCCAATTGCGCCCCATTTGGATGGTCAGATTGGTTTGCAAGTCCAAAATTCAAATGGCTATTTGGGTCAGGCAAGAATTTCTAAGGAATCCCTTAAAGAAGCTTTAATGGAGTGTCTGAAGGCACTAAATGTGGTGATAGATGGCAAAGTGTTAAGGGAAGGGATTCAAAGGGAGGTAAGGGTACCCAGGTCAGAGAGATCTGAACCCCTTGTTGCCTAGCCAGACCACGTGATCCAAATGGTTATGGTTTAAGACCTAAGGTTGCTAGCAAACCAAAGGGGATGGGTCAGGCTAGGGACCAGCTCTCGGCTCTAAGTGAAGTGAACTAGTTGAGCCAACTGAGACAAATCTTGAGGGAGGATGTGAGGAGTGGGTCATCGGGGTTGGAGAAAACAACAAAGATCTTGGAGGAAGAGCGGAGCAGGGAGTTTTATCAACCTTTGACAGGTTCCCTGGAGTCAACACCCTAGGCTATGGTGAATGATGTCAGCTTGTCATCTCTGCTGCTAGTCTCGATGGAAGAAGAACCCGCTGAGATCATTCCTTTGGCTATGGACCTATGGTTGAGAGCCCTAAAACTGTGATGCCAAGGCAATTAGGTGTTGTGGATAAAGCTAAAGATCAGGTAAGTTGCCTTGCTTAGAAGGGGTTTAAAGTCAAGGAGAAGTCTGCTACTGCTCCGCCTCTTGTGCCTTCTAGGAGTCCGGGGGTATCTTGCGATAAAGGGACCTTTCTTAACGCATTTTCCTCTTGGGTTACTTCCAAACTGTTGGGGCTTGGGGATTTTCTAAGGGTGTCAATAGAAGGCATGGAGGTGAAGACCATCAGGTATCTAGAGGAGATTGAATAAAAGATGTTGGAGGAGAAAGAGAGGATGAATGTAATAAAGGCAGGGGGTCTTCCAAAAATAGCAGAGAAATGATGATGTTGTCTCGGGGGCTGAATGACAAAGCTGGAAGTGGGGAAGATTCGTCAAGGGGGGAGGGAAGAAGATATAGAAAAGATTTTGTAAGGAAGGGGGTTTTCCAGTTTTGGTTGTTATAGAGTTGAAGTTGCTTTCTTGGAATGTGAGGAGATTGGGCTCAGGAAGAAGGCAAATGTTGGTGTGAGATGTGCTCAAGAGGTGGAAGCCGGAGCTGGTGCTACTCCAGGAAACAAAGCTTGAGGTGGTGGAGCCATGGAGGTTGTGGTGGTTAGGAGTGTTTGGGGGTAGGGGTAGGGGTAGGTGAGGTGGGTGAGTAAACCGGCAAGGGGGCAAGGGGATTAGTAACCATGTGGGATCGGTCAAAGGGCAAATTCTTGTCTTCTCATGTTAAATCTTTCACTCTTAAGCTGACTGATTGGCTGATTGCAACTCTGGATCAGTTCCTGCCTCCAGGATTTTAAACCCTCTCTTTCCTTCAGAAGGGGAGTCCAGATTCAGGATCTTGAAGGCACTGATCATCTTTTCCTCCATTGCCCTTCTGTCTCTCGTTTCTGGTGGAACTATCTTAATGCTCTGGGGGTGGCTTGGGTCATGCCAAGCTTGGTCTTGGATATTCTGTGGAGCTGGAAGCTGCATGGCCTCTCAAATCTAGCTAACTGTGTCTGGGATTGTATCCCTGTGGCTGTAGTTAGTATGGTATGGTCTGGTCTGAAAGAAATAGAAGATTGTTCCACCAAACCTCAAAGGATGTGGAGGATCTGATCTCTTTGTCTTTAGGTATATTGGTGTCATGGATCTCAGCTGCTAAAGGACTCCATCAGCAAAATCTTGCAAGGTTGGCTGATGGTCTAGGAGCCTTTGAGATTTATAGCTTTGTTGTATTGTATCATCTCTGCCCGGCCAGGGGGTTTGTCCTTATGCAATCAATAAAATTTACTTTACCTTTTTCCAAAAAAAGAAAAATACATTTGAAGCAAACAACTGAACACACACGTTTTCTTTACCCTTTTATTTTTTTTTGGGGGGGGGGGATGTTATGGGAACACACTCAAGTGCAATAACTTTAAAAAGACGGAATTGGTCAACAGAAGCATACCTATTGACAACAAGAAATAATGCCTTGCATCTTCCAAGCTGCGCACTGCAACAACAGCAAGGGGGATAACAAAATGGAGAGATGCCTTCTCATGAACATGCCACCCAAAGAGAAAACCACAGGTGTAAGCATAGGCTACCCATCTAGTGATCATTCCTGGCCGAGGCTCTCTCCATACCTTAACAAGACATGGAGATAAGGCAAGTAAAACCAACATGAAGGTTACCAGAGGAGTAACCTGCCATTCCATAGAATTTAACAATACAAGATTAGTCGGTCATAGATGTTCACTGCATATAGTGATGCATACAAATGCATAAACCACCAAATCATTAATTCAAAAGGTTTAATCCACTTTTCAATTTTGGGCAGGCAAAAAAACAAAAGCAACAAAACACTTCTAAGAGATGCATGATATTTTTTTCCTTTATTCTTTTTCACATTGTTCAACCATATTATTGACAGAGTTTATTTGCATGTGTAGATGCCTGGGACAGAATTAATGGAGAATGATAAGCATGCAGTCCAGCATTTAATCAACCAAGTAGGATTACCCTAGGAAGCACGGCAAAAGGTGAGGAATCCCCTACTAGCCCACCAGTGAAAGAAGCTGCTGGTGTCTGAATGCTAAATCCAAGTTTTGCAAGAACAAAAGCAAGCCCTTTGTCCGAAATTATGTAGAACACCCAGAAATTGGGAGCCCAATATGCATGACAGAGTCCCCTGCCAAAAGGAAACATACGGCGGAGGACTTGTTGTATCTGCAAGGAAAGATATTGAAAAAATAAGGATAGAAACATACACTAGTGGAGAAGGATAGAAACATACACGCAATACCTTATGACAAAATATTGAAAAAATAATGGGGCCATAAATTATTCAATTTAAAAATTAGAGGGAATTAACCACCAAATGTACAGCATAAAAACAGAGAGAAGGTCCATGGGCCATATGGCCTGTTTCTTTTTTTTATGAGTAATAGTAAAATTTTATTAATTCAGAACCTGATTTAGAATTGTAATTTGGTACAATATCCCATATGGCCATCGCCACAGCCATTTCCCCAACAGAGCTTGATTTTTTTTCAACCACCCTCTGTTGGGACCCAAATACCTTCCCCTAACCCAACACAGGGAGTGGAGCAGGCCACTACCCATCAGCAGTACTCAAGGAAGCAGAAAGGACAGGCGACAGAGCCTCA